CCCAGCAAATCCTGTACACTAAATACACCAGAGAACAATCTCCACTAATGATCCATCAGACTGTTAGTACCTCTCTCTGCTCTAATTCACCCACGTCACGTGAATTAGTTTATAATAGGATTTATCACTTATAAAGAGAGATGGATACTGCGTTTATTAAGAGCACTTAGGGCAGATTAGCACAAGAGGACGAGAGGATGGTACGGGCTCACCATAGTCCGTGCTACTTGGAACTTGTTCCGAGTAGCTGAATCTATAACAACAACAACAACAGGATGGAGGTACTCTGGTACGGGGGGGGGGGGGGAGGAGGCTGGTCCCTCCCCTGCCTCAGGGAAAGGGGGGGGGAGGGGGGGGGATGGTAATGAGTTAGAGGGTGGGGTGGGGGTCGGGGGAAGGAGTCCGACCTGCCCGAGATGAAAGGTTCAGTGACACCGGAATGGCCCCCTTCCATGCCCCCCCCCTTTCCACCCATCCCCCCCCCCCCTCCCTCTTTCCACACACACACACACACACACACACACACACACACACACACACACACACACACACACACACACACACACACACACACACACACACACACACACACACCAACACACACACACACACACACATACTCACACAGGTGTGGTGGAGGCTGACTCCATACACAGTTTCAAGTGTAGATATGATAGAGCCCAATAGGCTCAGGAACCTGTACACCAGTTGACTGACAGTTGAGAGGCGGGACCAAAGAGCCAGAGCTCAACCCCCGCAAGCACAACTAGGTGAGTACACACACACACACACACACACACACACACACACACACACACACACACACACACACACACACACACACACACACACCCGCACCAAGAGGTGCCGTCTCAGGTGTGTGCCCAGTAAACACCTGTGTTTGAGAGCCATGTGTAAAAGTCGTGCATTTGACTCAAGAGCTTTCTACTCGCCTATTTGTGCCTGCAGGATCGAGCTCTGGCTCGTGGACCCGGCTGAGTCTGCGTGCGCCACCGGAGAACGAGACTTAGCTCCCGGGTCACACCTATTGGTACCCGGTGCGTCCATTCCTCACCACACTGAAATAGCTAATCTTAAATCCGTGGTGGTTAGAGATGCCTTCTTCAAGCTCTCAGGCCGTTCTCACCTCCCCCACTGCTTGCGAGTACTTAGAGCTCCCCTTAGTGTCGTAAACTCCATTGGTATTTTGAATGTCGTGATCATAACTCCTCTGGTCTTTCTCACTTCTGTTGCTTGATTTTGCACTTGATCTTATCTATTTTCTGGTTATCTTGAGGTTATCTTGAGATGATTTCTGGGCTTTTTAGTGTCCCCGCGGCCCGGTCCTCAACCAGGCCTCCACCCCCAGGAAGCAGCCCGTGACAGCTGACTAACTCCCAGGTACCTATTTTACTGCTAGGTAACAGGGGCATAGGATGAAAGAAACTCTGCCCATTGTTTCTCGCCGGCGCCAGGGATCGAACCCAGGACCACAGGATCACGCGTCCAGCGTTCTGTCCCCTCAGCCACCGGTTACTGTGCCGGACACACGCCGGCAGAATAACGTTAGCATCGTATGCCAAACTGATCAGTAGCATTGTCTAAGACTTGCTGGGGAGCCGGTCGGCCGAGCGGACAGCACGCTGGACTTGTGATCCTGTGGTCCCGGGTTCGATCCCAGGCGCCGGAGAGAAACAATGGGCAGAGTTTCTTTCATCCTATGCCCCTGTTACCTAGCAGTAAAATAGGTACCTGGGTGTTAGTCAGCTGTCACGGGCTGCTTCCTGAGGGTGGAGGCCTGGTCGACCGGGCCGCGGGGACACTAAAGCCCCGAAATCATCCCAAGATAACGTCAAGAAGACATGCAACACGACACACTCCGGACCTGAGGGGTCTGAGATGTGAGGAAAACCTGCCGGAAAAGGAGCAAGCATCACCAAGCATTCATACGAAACCTATACATCTTAATCCTCGTGACTTTGTTTACATTTTACATAAACTGTCATAAACAGTTGTTAATGACATAAACTCATAAACTGTCTAATTAAATGTAAATAACACCGCCATGATTAAAGATATACAGATTTCGTTTGTGATTGTGTAAATGTTTCATGACTCCCGGCCCTGGATCTCGGCACACAAGGAAGGAGGAGGATATGATCACGACATAAGAGATCCAATGAGGAATTTACCAACTAGACAAAGAATATGCATATTTGTGTTGTTATTATATATTTGCGAAGTATATACCTGTCCCAGACCTTCATGTGAGGGTGGGCCGCCCTTATGAGGGCGTCACGGCATGAGGGTGGGCCGCCCTTATGAGGGCGTCACGGCATGAGGGTGGGCCGCCCTTATGAGGGCGTCACGGCATGAGGGTGGGCCGCCCTTATGAGGGCGTCACGGCATGAGGGTGGGCCGCCTCCCCCCAGTATGAGGTATGAGGAGAGAGGTATGAGGGTGTACAGGTAGACGGAACCACTTTATCCCTATAGCATGACCTATTGCTTTAATGTGGGTTTCTAATTTAAAACAGTGCCCTGACGCCCTATCCTACCTAGGGTGAGACCCTGAACCTCACCCTACCTAGGGTGAGACCCTGAGCCTCACCCTACCTAGGGTGAGACCCTGGGGGGGCGGGGACGTAGATAAGAATGATTCACACATGATCACCACATTCAAGATACTCAAGGTAATTGATAGGGTAGATAAAGACAGACTATTTAACACAAGGGGCACACGTAAAAGGGGACACAGGTGGAAATTGCGTGCCCAAATGAGCCATAGAGACGTTAGAAAGAACTTGTTCAGTGTCAGAGTAGTTGACAAATGGAATGCATTAGGCAGTGATGTGGTGGAGGCTGACTCCATACACAGTTTCAAGTGTAGATATGATAGAGCCCAGTAGGCTCAGGAACCTGTACACCTGTTGATTGACGGTTGAGAGACGGGACCAAAGAGCCAGAGCTCAACCCCCGGCAAGCACAACTAGATATACACACACCTTATTTCTGCAAAAGTTTCTATTAGTTTTCCCTGCAATGTTGAGTGTGGCGCCGAGGTTAGGTTAGGTTAGGTTAACCTAACCTAACCTAACCTAACCTTATCTTGCAAGATTGAATATTGCATGTTATCACACCTAGCAAGATAACAGCTGCGGGTCTTACACCATACTAGCACAAACAATTTACACGCGTCTTTGAACGTGTTCACACCATTTTAGAATACAAATTGGGATGGAATGGGTGAAGATGGAATGGGCGCCCGCCCGCCCTCCCTCAACGCTCACGAATAAGCATTGGTCTGGGTTTACCTGTTCCACTCCAGTGGTCTCCTGGGGCGGCCCTGTACAGTTATTTCTCCCTCCTGTTCTTGAGAATACATGGGAGGGGGATTTTGTGGGAGGGAGGGAGGGAGATACCTGCTTGATGGGGTTCTGGGAGTTCTTCTACTCCCCCAAGCCCGGCCCGAGTTCGTGCTGGTGTAGAGGGAGTGAGTGAGCGCTGGTGTAGAGGGAGTGAGTGAGCGCTGGTGTAGAGGGAGTGAGTGAGCGCTGGTGTAGAGGGAGTGAGTGAGCGCTGGTGTAGAGGGAGTGAGTGAGCGCTGGTGTAGAGGGAGTGAGTGAGCGCTGGTGTAGAGGGAGTGAGTGAGCGCTGGTGTAGAGGGAGTGAGCGCTGGTGTAGAGGGAGTGAGTGAGCGAACTCAGAGGTTCCGACACAATTAACATGTGCCCCTCACGAGTGCGTGTTGACACTCGAGGTGCATTGAACTTTGAGTGCAAGTTGCGTGAGCCGTGTTGCCCAACCGTTCCTCGGGGTGGGCGTTAGTTCTGTTGTATTTACCTGAATTTACCTGAAGGGGGCACCGTTTCTCTAGTGGTTTCAACAGGGACAGCAAGCCGGCGGTGTGTGGTCTTCTAGCTCTCTCATTCTCACTCATTGCGTGAAGTCCTCGCGGCCGGTTCGATTCCCGGGAGAGGTGGAAACAAATGGGGCAGAGTTTCTTTCATTCCTGATACTCCTGTTCACCTAGCAGTAAATAGGTACCTGGGAGTTAGACAGCTGTCACGGGCTGCTTCCTTGGGGTGGAGGCCTGGTCGAGGACCGAGCCGCCTGTGATCCTCACTCTAGTCTACTGATGCTGTATGCTGTATTTGCCGGCGAATACAAGGATACATTGTAGACTAAATAAACTATTCATCATTGATGAATAGTGTGTTTCATCCACAATGTATGATGAGTATTATTTATCATACATTTAAGAGCAATGATGCACAAATGATTTTGTTGAAAACAGGTGAGTTTGTGTGGGCGAAAGAGTGAATAGTTTAATGGATCAGAACCGAATTAATGCATTAATTGTATTGTTAATTATCTGACGTTACCATCAATCTCATTATTTTGGCATTAGGCCTATCCGAAACAGTATAGGCCTAACCTCAAGTGAACTCTTTATTAAATTCAACATTGTAATTTTATCTCCATGTTCATATTTTATTTAAAAAGTTATAATTGGTGTAATAATTATTTTAATTATAATTTATTTGTTTGAAAATGTTGTGATGGGATTAGCGAGGTTAATTATAGATTATTATCTGGTTGTTGAGGAGGCTTCTTAACCACATAATTGGCCTGTTACAGGATGGTGATAATAGGGTCCTTAACTACTTAATTGGCCTGTTACAGGATGGGGAAGATAGGGTCCTTAACTACTTAATTGGCCTGTTACAGGATGGTAATGATAGGGTTCTTAACCACTTAATTGGCCTGTTACAGGATGGTGAAGATAGGGTCCTTAACTACTTAATTGGCCTGTTACAGGATGGTAATGATAGGGTCGTTAACCACTTAACTAGCCTGTTACAGGATGGTGAAGATAGGGTCCTTAACTACTTAATTGGCTTGTTATAGGATGGTGAAAATAGGGTCCTTAACTACTTAATTAGCCTGTTAAAAGATTGTGCTGATAGGGTCCTTAACCACTTAATTGGGCTGTTACAGGATGGTGCTGATAGTGAGCGAGCATCTAGTGAAGGAGGTGCCCTCCTCCACCAACGGCATATACACATCTTGGCCCCGTCTCAAGGAGACGTCCCACGCCCTCACCACGCTGATGACGGAGGAGGTTGGGCCGCCTGGCCTCCTGTACCTCAGGCAGCGGGAGTACGCCGTCACCGTCCCACATGATGAAAACCTGCACATATTGGGCACTGATGACGCCACCACCTCCGTTATGGCCGTCTTGAGACACACAGGTGAGTCCTGGTTCGTCTTATACCTGTCTTGAGGTTACGTAGCACCGGTGAGTCCACTGCGGGGTCGCCATAGCCCGTGCTACTTGGAACTTTTTCCGAGCAGCTGAATCTATAACAACAACAACAACTTGAGGTTATGCAGGTTCGCGTTCAATCCCCGACCGTCCACAAGTGGTTGGACACCATTCCTCCCCCCCGTCCCATCCCAAATCCTTATCCTGACCCCTTCCCAGTGCTATATAGTCGTAATGGCTTGACGCTTTCCCCCTGATAATTCCTTTCCCTTCGGGGTTTAGCGTCCCTGCGGCCCGGTCCTCGACCAGGCCTCCACCCCCAGGAAGCAGCCCGTGACAGCTGACTAACTCCCAGGAACCTATTTACTGCTAGGTGAACAGGGGGTTCATCAGGGTGAAAGAAACATTTTTGCCCATTTGTCTCCGCCTCCACCGGGGATCGAACCCGGAACCTCACGACTACGAACCCGAAGCGCTGTCCACTCAGCTGTCAAGCGCCCTTAACATTTGAGATTGTGTGACTCCCCCCCCTCCCTCCCTGTTGATGGGGGAGGTGGGATCCCCTCCCCCCCCCCCCCTTCAGCACCTAACACCGTCAAGGTCACAGAAATAACCTTATTATCTCCCGGGTGTCCCCAACGTCGTACTAAAGGGCCCTATCCTAACCAACCACAGGACCCACGAATAGAAAACGGGGGACCATTGCCAAATTTTTGCGGGCCGGTCGCTAGAATTTTTTTAGTACACCTTTTTGACGTTGGGGGGGGGGGTCGTCAAAATACGTCGTGTTGAACAACAGAACAGATTGGGGTCAGTTCCCCCCCCCCCCCCCCCCCCCCCCCACAGCAGCGCGTTTTCTATGATTGATTTTTTTTCTCAGTGCATATTCTACAAATTGCAAATACAAAATAGTCATCTTCCCAAGGCATATATATATATATATATATATATATATATATATATATATATATATATATATATATATATATATATATATATATATATATATATATATATATATATATATTTCAGAAGGAGGCACTCCTTCTGAAGATGTATTAATATACGAAAGTACTTAAGGAAATTCCTGTTTCAATTATCCTCCGTGGTCTGACACTGTCACATTTTTAATCACGTGTTTATTTTTCGTGATTTACACACACACACACACACACACACACACACACACACACACACACACACACACACACACACACACACCACATATATATATATATATATATATATATATATATATATATATATGTGTGTGTGTGTGTAAAATATCTTGTGTATAAATATATGTAAGGTAGGAGGGTGAGAAGGTGAGAGGACAAGAGAGGAGATTTAGAAGCTGTGAAGAGGTTTTCGCTTGTTTAAATACCCTTGTAAGGAGAGCTTCGTAGCTACCAGTCATGCTGCAGCTTGTCAACGTGTGTGTGTGTGTGTGTGTGTGTGTGTGTGTGTGTGTGTGTGTGTGTGTGTGTGTGTGTGTGTGTGTGTGTGTGTGTGTGTGTGTGTGTGTGTGTGTGTGTGTTGTGTGTGTGTGTGTGTGTGTGTGTCGCTTGCCTAGAGGTCGTGTCGAATCTTTTCTGTTTCAAGGGGTCATTACGTGTCTCATGCCCTTCGACTCTGGTACCAGTACTGGTGGCATATCTCTGGTCTTCCTGTCCCTCCAGCTGTCTGTCAAAGTCTTCCTGTCCCTCCAGCTGTCTGTCAAGGTCTTCCTGTCCCTCCAGCTGTCTGTCAAGGTCTTCCTGTCCCTCCAGCTGTCTGTCAAGGTCTTCCTGTCCCTCCAGCTGTCTGTCAAAGTCTTCCTGTACCTCCAGCTGTCTGTCAAAGTCTTCCTGTCCCTCCAGCTGTCTGTCAAAGTCTTCCTGTCCCTCCAGCTGTCTGTCAAGGTCTTCCTGTCCCTCCAGCTGTCTGTCAAGGTCTTCCTGTCCCTCCAGCTGTCTGTCAAAGTCTTCCTGTCCTCCAGCTGTCTGTCAAAGTCTTCCTGTCCCTCCAGCTGTCTGTCAAAGTCTTCCTGTCCCTCCAGCTGTCTGTCAAGGTCTTACTGTCCCTCCAGCTGTCTGTCAAAAGTCTTCCTGTCCCTCCAGCTGTCTGTCAAGGTCTTACTGTCCCTCCAGCTGTCTGTCAAGGTCTTACTGTCCCTCCAGCTGTCTGTCAAAGTCTTCCTGTCCCTCCAGCTGTCTGTCAAGGTCTTCCTGTCCCTCCAGCTGTCTGTCAAAGTCTTCCTGTCCCTCCAGCTGTCTGTCAAAGTCTTCCTGTCCCTCCAGCTGTCTGTCAAAGTCTTCCTGTCCCTCCAGCTGTCTGTCAAAGTCTTCCTGTCCCTCCAGCTGTCTGTCAAGGTCTTACTGTCCCTCCAGCTGTCTGTCAAGGTCTTCCTGTCCCTCCAGCTGTCTGCTTTCATGTTCATTCTTGCCCAAATGTTTCCGTCATCAACATTGATATAATGTTTACAATTGATTGCAAACTATGAACGTTTGTAATCAATAAAATATAAGTGAACGTTTGTCCCTCTTTGACGTAAATGTAAGTAGAATTATCCACTTATGTGTGTGTGGGGGGGGGGATAGAGGCATCACTTTATTGTATGTTTGTGTTTGTCTGTGCTGCCTCGCGTACAAGTCCTGTCCTTGTGGGAGAGGAACTTCCATTTCCGGGTCGGGGTTCTACCTTTCAGGACGAGGAGTGGGAGATCATTATTTTTGGGAGGGATTCGGTGAGGTAGGGAACTATCCTTAGGGGATTTACCTTACTGTGTGAAGGGTTGGGAGGATTTACCTTTCTGTGTGGAGGATTGGGAGGATTTACCTTTCTGTGTGTGAAGGGTTGGGAGGATTTACCTTTCTGTGTGTGAAGGGTTAGGAGGATTTACCTTTCTGTGTGTGAAGGGTTAGGAGGATTTACCTTTCTGTGTGGAGGATTGGGAGGATTTACCTTTCTGTGTGGAGGATTGGGAGGATTTACCTTTCTGTGTGGAGGATTGGGAGGATTTACCTTTCTGTGTGGAGGATTGGGAGGATTTACCTTTCTGTGTGGAGGATTGGGAGGATTTACCTTTCTGTGTGTGAAGGGTTGGGAGGATTTACCTTTCTGTGTGTGAAGGGTTAGGAGGATTTACCTTTCTGTGTGTGAAGGGTTAGGAGGATTTACCTTTCTGTGTGTGAAGGGTTGGGAGGATTTGCCTTTCTGTGTGGAGGATTGGGAGGATTTACCTTTCCGTGTGTGAAGGGTTAGGAGGATTTACCTTTCTGTGTGTGAAGGGTTGGGAGGATTTACCTTTCTGTGTGTGAAGGGTTAGGAGGATTTACCTTTCTGTGTGTGAAGGGTTAGGAGGATTTACCTTTCTGTGTGTGAAGGGTTGGGAGGATTTACCTTTCTGTGTGGAGGATTGGGAGGATTTACCTTTCTGTGTGTGAAGGGTTGGGAGGATTTACCTTTCTGTGTGTGAAGGGTTGGGAGGATTTACCTTTCTGTGTGTGAAGGGTTGGGAGGATTTGCCTTCCTGTCTGAAGGGTTTGGAGGATTTGCCTTTCTGTGTGGAGGATTGGGAGGATTTGCCTTTCTGTGTGGAGGATTGGGAGGATTTGCCTTTCTGTGTGAAGGGTTGGGAGGATTTACCTTTCTGTGTGGAGGATTGGGAGGATTTGCCTTTCTGTGTGAAGTATTGGGAGGATTTGCCTTCCTGTGTGAAGGGTTGGGAGGATTTGCCTTCCTGTGTGAAGGGTTGGGAGGATTTGCCTTTCGTGGTGGTGGGGAGGTAGGAGCTACCTTGAGGTGGGGAGGAGGATAGTAGGGCAGGTGGAGAGGTAGTCCTTAAGAGGGTGGTGGAGGTGGGTAGCACTTAACAGTGAGGCAGCCTCCTGTTTACCTCTTGATGAATCATGTTTGCTCTCTTGTCCTGTTGGGCCCTCCCCCCCTTACACCCCACCCCCCCCCACCCCCTGCCTCTGCTGCTGTAACTGACTCTGTTGCTGCTGCTGTTGCTGCTGTAACTGACTCTACTGCTGCTGCTGTTGCTGCTGTAACTGACTCTGTTGCTGCTGCTGTTGCTGTTGCTGCTGCTGCTGTTGCTGCTGCTGCTGCTGCTGCTGTAACTGATTCTACTGTTGCTGCTGTTGCTGTTGCTGCTGTTGCTGCTGTAACTGACTCTACTGCTGCTGCTGTTGCTGCTGCTGCTGCTGTTGCTGCTGTAACTGACTCTGTTGCTGCTGCTGTTGCTGTTGCTGCTGCTGCTGCTGCTGTTGCTGCTGCTGCTGCTGCTGCTGTAACTGATTCTACTGTTGCTGCTGTTGCTGTTGCTGCTGTTGCTGCTGTAACTGACTCTACTGCTGCTGCTGCTGCTGTAACTGATTCTACTGTTGCTGCTGTTGCTGCTGCTGCTGTTGCAACAGGAGGGTGAGAAGAGACGAACGAACACACACAAATTCGAAGAATGGCATGAAAAGTGTCCCAGCAAGTTTTAAGATACAACATATACTCGAACACACGACCAGGAAAACTAAGGATGTTATATACTTGCTGTGACGTGGCGTCTGCTGCACTGAGAGGAGCTGGAGGTGTTGACAGCCCCAGGGGCTTACCTTACCTTGAGGTGCTTCCGGGGCTTAGTGTCCCCGCGGCCCGGTCCTCGACCAGGCCTCCTGGTCTGACGCTGACAACATCTCACTCCTGCACCTTGCAAGGAGGCAGCTGCATCATCTTATCAGGAGAAAGCGCTAAGCCAAGCACTAGTTTCTCCTCATTGAGGAGGCCCGGTCTCCTATGTTGGCCCTCAACTAGGCTCGTTCCTGAGCTCTGAAGATGGAGGGAATTGGACGTCACTAAACAAGGGGAAAGAAGGAATATTTCGGACGTGATTCAGAAACACTAGATCGAGAGGACGTAACTAGAAACAGGCTAGGTTATCTTGAGGTTATCTTGGGATGATTTTGGGGCTTAGTGTCCCCGCGGACTGGTCTTCGACCAGGCCTCCACCCC